ATCCTGATCAGTGGAATTTATCTATAGAATGGAAGTTGGCTTCACTGTGAGCGAAAAATTATATGATTCTCCCACCCTCCCCCATAGATGCTAGAAAAAGAAGAAGATGGAATTACTCGGTGTTTTCCTAACAATAAAATAGCGTCACCGTCCTATCATATCTACCACCTATCATGTGTCTATCATCTTTTAAATCTTTGTCCCAAAGTCAGCTTGTTACTTAATTGGGCAAACATTTGCAAAACTTCCCTTAAAATCAGGAGTAAAGCACAGATACCCACTATTTCCACTGGGTGACAATGGCATTAACCATTACAAATGGATAAGGTGAATCAAAGACTCACAAATTAGGGAAAGAAGAAGCGAAGGTGTCTCTGCAGATAACATGATAGTATCCCTGGTGTGCCATAAGGAATCAATGACAAAACTAGCCCAAACCGTGCAGGAGTTCAAAACGGAGGCAAGGCCTTGGATTGACATATGATCCTCAATGTTAACGCACACCAGCCATAACTGGTTACAACAACATTGACACAGAAAACCCCAACGACAATAAGAACAACAAACCTTCTTAGCAATATGTTTAATAAAGAACTTACAAAATTTATATGAAGGACATTAAAAAATAGCCCTGGAGGCGGAGCATTTGATACGGTAGTTAATGTCGGAATCCTAGACAAATTGATGCTAACATTATGTTAAAAATTAAGATGCAAGAATAAAGCAAGATGGTATCAGTAGACAGATTTATCAGTGGAATAGAATAGAAGGTTCAGAAAAAGACCCAAGGGGCAGGCATTGTGGAGCAGCAGGGTAAGCCTGCGGGCACCAGCATCCCACATGGGTGCCAACTGGAGATCTGGCTGCTCCACTTCCCATCCAGCTCCCTGCTGTTGTGCCTGGGAAAGCAGTGGAGGATGGCCCAAGTGCATGGACCTCTGCACCCATGTGGGAGACCTGGAAGAAGCTCCTGGCTCCTGGCTTCCACCTGGCCCAGTCCTGGGCATTGCAGCCACTTGGGGAGTGAACCGGTGGATGGAAGATTTCTCTCTCTGCCTCTCCCTTTCTCTCTGTAACTCTTCCTTTCAAATAAAAAAAATAAATAAATTAGTACTTTTACCAAAAGACCCGAGGGGAGGGTGTTTGGCATAACCACAATAGTTGAGAGGCCACTTATAACATCTGCACCCCATATCCTAGTGCTTGGGTTCAGGTCCCAGCTCTGCCCCTGATTCTGGTTTCCTGCTGGTGCACACCCCAGGAGACAGCAGGTGATGTCTCAAGTACTGGGATTCCTTTGACATGAAGAGTTAAAATTGTATATGTACGGGTGTAAAAAGTTAAGCTTAAGCTTACAGGTTTAAACCTTCCTGGTGCAGCTGTAAAAATAAAACAGAGTGAAGTAGCACCTTGACAGTAGGGACTCCATTTTGGAGCACTTGAGACTGCATTCTGGGAAAGCAACCCCCCCACCGTGAGACTCTGGTCTGAAACTATGATCTCAAATAGTCGGACAATAGCAGTGCACTACATCACCCTTGGCAATGCACAAAAACCCCCTAGCATGATTGCTCAAGCTTAAAAGTAGAAAGGTTGCACCTGTGTTACCTGGGCTAATAATGAAGATGTGATTTGTCTATGTCTTAAGATCATAATTGCTGATTGTAAGATTTTAGCAACTGCTTAGCAACCGTGTATTCTCTCCCCCTTCCCGATTTTGCGGTTTTTGCCTTTATAAACCCTATGCTGTAGTTCCTCATTGCTCCTCTGTCCTTGTCAGAGGGCCCCAACATGTTGGATCAATAAATTTAACCCTCTGCTGGTTGCATGAGAGAATAAGTCTCTTGGAGTCGTTCCTCGGGCGGTGGGCTTTTTCAGACCCTAACAGACCTACTTGGGAGACCTGGATGAAGCTCTGGGCTCCTACCTTTAGCCTGGCCCAGCCTGACTGCTTGTAGGCATTTGGGGAGTGAACTAGCAAATGGAAGATCTCCGTCTGACTGTCTCTGTCTCTTTGTCTTTCAAATAAAAAAAATTAAAAATTAAAAAAAAGACCCTAAGCTAAATCTAATGCGTGATGATAAAGTATCATCTCAAGTGACTGGGCAAAGATGGTCTGTTGAATAAAAATGATGGAATGACTGTATAATCATTTGGGAAAAAATCAAGCTAGAGCCACAGCTCATACATACATAATACTAAGTGAAAAGTGGGACAGGGATGGGGTGTAAAAACACAGAAGCTTCCTAGGACACCTGGGTGAACTCCTGTGTAAACTGGATGTGGGGAAAAGCTTTCTGATTATGACCCAAAATCCAGATATAAACACATCAATAAATTTGAGTTGAAAGAACTAATATTCTTAGTATAGAAAGATCACTTAAAAAATTCAGGTGAGTGGCTGGCGCTGTGGCATAGCAGGTGAAGCCACTGCCTGCAGTGCCAGCATCCCATATGGGCACTGGTTCCTGTCCCAGCTGCACCTCTTCCGATCCAGCTCTCTGCTGTGGCCTGGGAAAGCAGTGGAAGATGGCCCAAGTGTTGGGGACCCCGCACCCACGTGGGAGACCCAGAGGAAGCTCCTGGCTCATGGCTTTGGATCAGCGCAGCTCCGGCCATTGCGGCCAATTAGGGAGTGAACCAGCAGATGGAAGACCTCTCTCTCTGCCTCTCTGTAACTCTGCCTTTCAAATAAATTAAAAAAAAAAATCCTAAAAAATTGTTTAAAAAAACAACAAAAAATCTGAGTAGATGACATACACAGATAATTCACAGAGACACATAACCATGGTCCTTCAGCAATTTAGAAAAGTGTTCTTTTTTTTCTCATGGTGAGAGAGATGCAAAATAGGACCATTTCTCACCTATTCGATTAGCGGAAGTGGAAATGTTGCTGCGAGTGTGAGAGCGTGGGAGACCGCGCGCTCCGGAGCTCACTTCTCACACGGGGGCTTGGCTGCACCTGACAAACTTTGCTTTCTGCCCGGCTCCCAAGTCTGCAGTGAGCAATGATTCCTAAAGGGCCCCCCTGTGCTGGACAAGAGGGTGAGAGACAGAAGAGACACACAGCCAGGCATGCTCCCTGCCTCTTGCCTGGTGATGCTGTCTGGGACTCTGCCAACGAGAAGACGCACACCGCCTGCAGCCCCTTGTCCTTGTACTTTAGAACCGTGAGGCAAAGCAAACCTCTTTTCCTTACCAAGTGGCCTGACGTGTGAGTCTGTTACAGTGGTAAACACGGATAATATACCACCCAAATACAAACATGTGTGCAGCCTTATTTGTAGCAGCCTTGTTTGCAATTACAAAATATTGACAGCTATCTAAATGCCCGTATATGGGAGCAAGCTTGCATAAACTATGGCACAGCCACAGCAGGCAGAACCAGGCAGTGTCTAAGGAATGAAGAACTCTATGAATTCATCTGACTTCCCGGATGTATTGTTAAAATCGAAAGAGCAGAGTAGAAAAGAGTTTCTGTAGCATGCTACCTTTTGTGTAAGAAAGAAGAGCTAACAGGGAAATATGTCTGATTATTTTTGCAAAAAGGAATGTAGGAAGAAAAAGCCAATGTGAGTGGGACTGGGGTGGAAGAGTTTGATGGGAGTGTACCACTCGGTGCGTGTGACTTTTTGTATTGCTTTGACTTCTGGAAACAGGTTAATGTTTTCTACACTCAGAATTAATTCATCGACAAGGATGGGGTGAGAGTTCTAAAATTAATTGCAAACAGAAGTGAAAGAAGCAGCTGTATTTCCGATGAGTGTTATAACCACAAGAGGGGAAGAAGGAGGTAGCGTTTGGCCACAAAGCTTTTCAGTAGACACTAAGAGCTGTAGCTACCCTATGTGAATTTCTGAAAATTCCAGGCTTGAGCAAATGATGGCATATATTAGGATGATGGTCTTTCATGGGGAAAAGATTTGCACTGATGAAAAGAGGGAAACTGGTGTAACTTCTGTGTTGTTCAACTGGACTGGAGATGAAAGTAGGAACTACCGGTTTTTAGGTCTTGCCCTCATTTGTGTATGTGAGTGTGTGCATGTGTGTGTGTTTACCCATGTGCATATGTGTGTGTTTACATGTGTGTTGGTGTACTTCCCAGCTCTAGCCACCGAAAGGCTTAAAAGCAGTGACACTCTAGCAATGAGCACACCTGGTGCTAAAGTCTTGATTTCTTTTTCTTTCTTTTTTTAAAAGATTTATTTATTTGCAGGGCAGAGCTACAGAAAGAGGGAGAGAGAGAGAGAGAAAGAGAGAGACAGACAAACCGACTAAAGAGAGCTGTTCACTTGCATAATGGCCACAACATCTGGGGCTGGGCCAGCCCGAAGCCAGCAGCCTGGAACTCCACCTGGTTCTCTTACTTGGGTGCAGCAGCCCAAGCACCTGGGCCATCTGCTGCTGCTTTTCCAGGCGCATTAGCAGGGAGCTGGATTGGAAGTGGAGCAGCTGGGATTCAAATTGGTGCTCATATGGGATGCAGGCACTGCAGATGGAAGCTTAACCCACTGCGCCACAACACTGGCCTCTGAGTCTTGTTTTCTAATCACATTTCTTTGTGAAGAACCAAGGCTCCTTTAAGAAATGGCTGATTCCAGGACTGAAATAGGGAGATTTGAATGGTACTGTGTCAGCTTCTTGCTATTTGATAGCTATTATGTAGTTATGGATGAGAATGTTCTTAACACTGAATACTGATGTATTTAGGGGTATAGGAATGTAACAGGCACAGCTCACTCTCAGGTTGTTCAGGACAAATAACAGAGAGAGACAGAAAAATGATAAAGCAAATGGGGGAAAATGCAAACAAATGATGAATCTGGGTAAAAGGGCAATAGGAGTTCTTTGAATGATTCTTGTACCTTTTCTCAAAGTTACCTGAAAGGCTGACATGATTTTTCCGTTAGTTAGCTGTGAGACTAAAAGAACAAATGATAAGACGTTTCTTGGAAGAGACTCCCCAGTAAAAAGGAAGGAAAGAGAGCAGGGACACGACCTTGATGGACCAAGGACTTTAATGGGAAGCAGCTCCTCTGTGGCCCTGGCCGTTTCAGGAGCTGGAGGCGCTCCTGCAGGTGCACAGGGGTGGCTCAGACGTCTCCTCCTCCTCCAGGGGAGTTTGTGAATCCGTCTTCATGACTCCTGCCCACCGGCTCTTCCTTGTGGATATGCCCAGCAGCTGCATAGCTCAGGGGCCAGCTTGGGGGCTGCCCACTAGAATGGTCAGGGTCTGCCGATGAGGCATGGCTGGAATGGCCAGCGCTCCTGGGAGTAGCGGTTTAGGTTCCTCTTATAAAAACCTCTTTGGGGAGCATGTGTATCCACGTCTGAAAGAAAGGCAGCATTATGCTGGTGGGGGGCCTTGAACTGGGCTTGGGTGCCTGCTCTTGGTCATTTGCTTCCCTCTCTGATTGTGCCTCAGCTTCTTGCCTCCCATGGGTACCCCACCCTAAGACTCGGCCCAGCGATGGGGAAGAGCTTCTTGCATTGTGCTCGGCTGGTGGAGCCAAGGACATAGAACATCTTGCAAAGTGCAGGGGTATGGAGTAGGAGGCTTGGGCCTGTTGTGGCTCTGACCCTAATGTCACAACCTGGAGGAGTGGAAAGTCCCTTCCCCTCCTGAGGCCTCTGTTCTGGGGGGGTGGGATAGGGAGGACACAGGCAGAGGGTAGGCAAGCTAGTGGGGCCCCAGCCCCTCACTGTCAATTTGAGTAGAGCAAGTCTCCCTTGATCTTTTATGGAAACTCAACTTGGTGAGGTTTTGCTGGCAGGAGGGGTTAGCTATTAGGAGAGTTCTAAAATGACTGGGCCATATGATGCTTGGATCTTGACAACCTAGCCTCTTGGGGAGGCTGTGGGTGGTGTGGGACCCCTGAGCAGAGCAAGGGGGCTGTATTTCTCCTTTCTGGACTGTGCCTCTAATCTGGATTGGGCATCTGTCCTCCCATGCCCTTGAGACATTGTACCCTCAGCAGAACCATGCTCAAGCCACAAGTGTTTTTTTTTTTTGTTTTTTTTTTTTGTGTGTGTGTGTTTTGTGTGTGTGTGTGTGTGGCATTGTCTGCTTTTCCTGCACCTGGCTGTGTTTCCAAGAACAACAGGGGGCAAAAGCAATGTGGGTCCTGATCTCCTAGACCTCACTGTCTAGTGGTCAAAGTAGACACTAAGCAAATGATCAGAGAAAATGCACACAAGCTGATGCCACAGGGCTCGGAGGAAGTACTGGATGTGGATCTTATCCTGCCACACCTGTTCCTCCTCACGTCGTTTGGAAGATCATGGAGTCAGGATCTGGACCCTGGGCTCTCCCCAGTGTGATCTGGAATATGACGGTGGCTTCCTGATGCTTGGTCTGCCTCACCTGTCACTCCACTTAGCTCAGCTACCATGGGGTCAGGTCACCAAGAGAAGGCCCCTTCCCTCCAGGATTCTTGGTCAGCAATAAGGCCCCACCTTGAGACTTACCCTCGAACTCACTGCTGCTGGAGGAAGCTCTCTTTTCTGGATGGATCAGGGGTTGCCCCAAAGGCAAGCAGGAAGAGGAGTTAGCGTGCTTGGGATTTTTGCCCTGCTCATCCTTCGGGAGCTGCAAATCTGGCAACGACAATCAGTCACGTGGGGAGGTCTGATGAGCTCATGGAAATGACGGCTTTTGGCCAACTTTAAGTAGCACATGGACAAGTGATGGTTATTATGGGATGGGGGTATATACCTGTGTCTACCTCCTCTATACTCCAAGTGCTCTTTCTTGTGAGCAGGTGAATTCAAAATAAGTATTCTTTCTAAAATATTAACTTTCTCCTCATTTATAAATGCAATGCGTATCCATTAAATAAAGTTAGGTAATCCATAGTAGTGGGGATTAGAAAAAAAAATCCCATACCCCCTTCCCTACAGACACCATCACATTTTCACTCTTTTCCTGGGCATATTTTATCATTATGCATAATTTACTACATATTACATATGCATTTTACTTTTTTCATATACGTATAACATAAATATTTGTCTCATGTCACTGAATTTAAAAAATCATGGTTGCCTCATATTCTATTTTATGGATAATTCAATCTTTATTTAACCAAGATTCTAGCGTTAGATGCTCTGACTGTTGTCAGTTTTAGTACTACAACAACTCCTGTTGTGATGAGCATTATTGCCTATGAAGCTTTGTCTTTATGTACTTCTAGAAGTATAACCAAGGGTTTTTATCAACAGGCTGAGATTTGTTCTACAGCAGAGCAAATGGTGCTGTCATTTATTATCTGCATATCTTGAACAAATTGCTTAACCTCCCTCTGCCTCTACTTTCATATCTGCAAGATCGTTTGCTCCTTTTGGGTAATAGTGTCCACTTCTGAGAGTTTATGTGGGGATGAATAGTATCATTTACTAGTAAAATGTAACCTGTCAGCTCCCACACAGCTGGAGAATTATCTGATCACAGTTGGGTCCCTGTCTAAACAGTGCATTGTCTGCAATAGAGCCCCAGTCATTATTGTGATTATGATATTGGAGAAATTGACATTTTCCACGTTCTTGATTTTCATTATGAGGCTACTTTCAAGGGGGAAGTATTTTAAAGACTTGCAGTTATGGATTTCTGGAAAATGTGTCAAGAGAATTGCTTCCTGCCATTGCACTATCTCATCTATTGTGGGAACTGTACCTGATTTATGAGAGTTCGGCCCTGGCCATACACTTATTTGCCTGTCGGTCCTGGCTTTGCCCAATCTTGACAATAACAGTTTTTTTTACATGTCTTTCTGAAATTGCTGATTTTGACACCGCTACCCCATCTTCTCTGCTATGACCCCTTATCCTGGGTCATCAAGAGTTCATGGCTGTCAGTGGAAAGCCAGAATGCCTTCTTGGTCTTTTTCTCTTTCCTTGACTCATGTTCTAGATGCCCTGTTTGAAGCTGAAAAGCGGATGTCTGATGCCAGTTAGACTGCATGAGCAAGAAACACCTTTCCTTTTGTAAACCACTGAGATTTCAAGGCAGAGCCCAGCCTCTCCTAACGCAGTAGCCATGTATTGCTTCCACTGTTTGAGCCAGCAATCATAGTCCAGGTGCTTGTGTCTATGGTCTCATTTTACCCTCCCAATGATCCTGAAAAGTAACACTGTATCATTCTATAGGTAAGGGCACTGAAGCTCAGAGAGATGAAGTGACTTGCCCATCTTCTGTGGGAGAGTTGAGATTCCAATCAGCATATATAGAAAGCAGGGCTCTTGACCACTATCTTTATAATCTGTGGTCCAGTGCTTCTCAAACTACACTGAGCATCAGATTTACTTGGGGATATTATTCTATGCAGCTTCTGATTCAGTAGGTCTTGAGGAGGGTCTGAAATGGAGTTTTAACAAGCTCTAGGTGATGCCAATGATGCTGGTCCATGGCCATACGGCTTTAAGCTCTCTTGTTTATTGGTTGGGGTACTTTGCCACCTATCCCCCACCTTATTTTTAGATTGAAACTATCACTCAACATGTGAAGGGACCTGGAGACATCCCAGCAGGAGGGGAAAGAGCAAAGAGACACAGAGAGACCACGAGGCATACTCTGACCTGATACCTACTGCTGGTTGGTGGCTGATGCCCTTGAGTTTGACTGGGAACCTTGGAGTCGTCGGTGGCCTGGGGTTCCTGACAGTCCTTGCAGCATAAACAGAAGATCTTCGAGGCCAGGTTTTTGTAGGATGCTGTAGAAGGCAAAGGAATGGGGGCCACAGGTTCTGGGACCTGAATTCCAGAAGCCTTTGGAACCTGACTGTCATGGGGTTGTATTGGGCCAGCCTCTCTTAAGGTATAAAACTCTCCCCTCCCCCAAACCTTCTGTAGCCACCCCCCCACCCCATGACCAGGAAGTCCAGGCCCTTTTGCCTGGGTTTCTTTCTCTTAAGGCCATTTTTCCTATTATTGAAAAAAAAAAAACTTACCCATGGATGGGAGTTGGAGTCTCTACTCTGCCAGCTTTGTCTGCAGGGGTGCTGTGCTGAAGCAGCCAATCTTGAATTTGAGTCCAGTTCACCGGGCAGGGCTGTTTCCTAGATAACATAAGACTGTGGCTGAAAAATGCCATCTTCTACCTGTGTTAATGTTCCAGGTGGGTAGGAGCTACTACAGCAGAACCCCCGCTCATGCAAACATGTGCATAAGAAACTAAGATTTTAGATAGATCTGTGTTCTACCCCCTTTCGAGTTGCCATGTTCTTCAGAAGATTCTTTAATCTTTTTTTTTAAGATTTATTTATTTGTTTGAAAGTCAGAGTTACACACAGAGAGAAAGAGAGGCAGAGAGAGAGAGAGAGAGAGAGAGAGAGAGTCTTTCATCCACCGGTTCACTCCCCAATTGGCCGCAACGGCTGGAGCTGTGCCCATCTGAAGCCAAGAGCCAGGAGCTTCTTCCAGGTCTCCCATGTGGGCGCAGGGGCCTAAGGACTTGGGCCATCTTTTACTGCTTTCCCAGGCCATAGAAGAGAGCTGGATTGGAAGTGGAGCAGCCAGGACTCGAATTGGCATCCTTTGGGATGCTGGCGCTGCAGGTGGCGGCTTTACCCTCTGTGCCACAGTGCCGGCCCCTCCTTAGCCTTCTTGATTCTCACCTTCGTCATGTTGGAAATGGGGATGGTAGTGGCTGCTTCGTAGAAGTGAAAGGTTGAATACTTGCAAAGTGACCCCTGGGTGCTAGGTATGCAGTAAGTGCTTAGTCAATGCTGTTCAACTTCTTTCTCCTCTCTTAGCGTAGCTCATTGGCTTCGTTAGCCCCGTGGATCCAGTGCTATAGAACATGGTAAAGAAGCACGTACTATCGGTGGGTTTAAATCCTGGGCTTGCCGTGAATTTAAAGTCTATGCTTCTTGTGTCTCATGCTCTTCATGAGTTGTGAGAGGAACTCAGGCCGGGTGACCTCTTTAAAAACCTTTGTAAGCCTCATCGTCCAGAAGAATAAGGCCTTGTTTCAGTCCCAAACTCCTTTCTTTGGGGATCAAATCCTCCAGATCCCTGGATACTTCCTTTTCCCACTCCTCTTTCTTTGGCAAAAGCCTCTTTTAGGAAATTCTTACTTTAGTGTTGCTTAGGTAATAATACCACATTTACTGTGGGCGCTGCCTCCTTCTGGGCTTGCTTCACATTCCTTTTACTGCTGTATCTTGGCCCAAGTCACCTCCGCAAACAGGTGGGGATGGAAGACCCCCCCCCCCCCCGCCCACTTTCAAACAAACAAATAAATCTTTAAATACAAACAGCTGAAAACTTAAAAAAGGCAAACAGAATCAAAAAAGACATACTACATATGGGGGAAAACAAAACAAAACAAACCAACAAACCAAGGACAAGAATTCCAGTTAATTTTGCATGAGAAACAATGCAAGCTGGAAGACACTGGAGACACCTTTAAGTGCGGAAAGAAAAGAAGAATCTGCAAGCCCAGAACTGCATATTCAGTGAAAATACCTTTCAATAACATTTCAAGGTAAACAAAACCAGAATTTGTCTTCAGAGCACCCAGGTATAAAAACTGTTAAAAGGAGGAAACAAAATGACACCAGAGAGAAATTCACATCTACTGAAAGAGAAGAAGAGGACAAGAAATGGCAGACACGCAGGGGTGAATGCCGAAGTTTTTTTCTTAGTTCTCCACCCCCTGGCCCCCAGCCTTTCAGTGGCTTCTCATATTTCTCAGTAGAAAATCCAGAGTTTCTCCCTAGGCCCTAAGATTCTCTGTAACCTCCTCGTCCTGCTGTGCCCACCTCAAGCCCTATGCATCACCACCAACCCTCTGCCTTCAATTCCGGCTCATCTCCCCTTGAGTCCCCTGGAGGTACACTGATGATTTCTAAAACCCCACCAGGCTCTCAGCTTGGGAACCTGTGCTTGTTTTATCCTCGATGAGCCTGGAACACTGTTCTGTTAAGTGACTATGTTCTGTCATTCACGTTTCTGCTTAAATGCTGCCTTTTTAGTGAGCCTTGCTCTGTCTACTCATTTAAAACCTCACACCTCCCACAGCACATCCTCAGCCCCTTCTCCTTATACTTTTCTGTTATTCACTTTGTATTTATTGAGTGTAAATTTGGTCTGCTTCCATCACTAGATTATAAATTTACGGGGGTCATGCCTTCATCTGTAGGATTTATTAATCCATTCTCAGTGTCTGACACATGTTCGTCAAATGAATGAGCAAGCCAGTATTTTTTCCTCCTTTGGCTTAGTAAAGGCACTGGCAGGCCTGGACAGAATAGGGACTTGAGTGATAATTTTTGTCCCAAGAGTATCACAATCTGTGGGACACAACCTAGCTGCCCATGTGTTAAGCTGACTGATGCTTTCATAGGTCAATTTTAGTTGTACTGTTTACCTGATAGGGGGCTGTTACCCCCATCCACTGCAACCCCAGTCTATCTCCTGCCAGCCTCCTTCCCATCCTCCTGCCTTCAGTCTTTTGAATTTCCCTGCAGACATCTCATCACTTCGTCTGCTGTAGTCCATTGCCGCTGCCCTCAGTGTTGCCTGGGTCACCAGCCTCTCTCACTTGGACTGCTGCCAGAACTTTCTCATTGGTTTGTATGTCCCCCTGCCTGGGCTGGAGTTCCCTGGCCAAATGGCAAATCCTATGGCATCACTCTTGCCTCAGCCCCTTGAGGGCCTCCCCGAGTCTGCAGATCCAAGCCCTTTCACGATCACTCCGTTGATATCTTCAGCCTCATTCGCCCCCCTTAGAGCTGGAAGAGATGCTGCCCAACAGCTCTCTCCTATCAGCTCTGTGCATTTTCCTGATCTGCACTCTACCTGGACTGTTCTCACCTCACTCCCTCACTCATCACCTTTCAAGACTCAGTTCAGGGGTTATGGAAAACCATGGCATGTGCTGGGATTCTCTTCTTGAACCACCACAACACTCCTTCCCCACCTGCCATGTCTCCCTGTATCACGATCCATGACTACACTGGCCACCTAACTCATAGCCAGTGTTTACTAAGTACTTGTTGGAAGCATTGGAAATGCCTGGGCAGTCACTGACAGGCTACATGCTGGCCCACAAGTGCTTTTCATTGATTTAACACATGTATTGAGAGCCTACCAGGTGCTGGGTGTTTTTAGGTGCTGGAGATACAGCAGTGAATAAGATACAAGACAGACAAATGCTCCACTCACATGGAAGCAGGAGAGTGGTTGATTCCACTTTTGCATCCATGGCACTCAGCCTAAGGATGGGCATGGAATAGGTACTTTATAAATATACTTGTTGCATAAATATTGAGTCTTCTCTGACTATCGGGTAGCGATTCTATGCCCAGTAGGTCTCATTTCTCCCACTAACTGATCTTGAACTTAGTGCACGTGAGTTAGTCCTTGTGGTCAGATACAGCCAGCAGGTCAGGCCCGTTCAGATAGCCCCATTGTGTGAGATCCATGACCAAGATGCAGTATTCACTGGGTTCATCTGGCTCCAACTCCAACAAACTTCTGGACCTGCTGCCAGGTGAGCTTCTCAAAAGAATTTGGACTCTCACATAGTTTGTTGGGCCCCAGTTAGTGGAATAAACACATTGAAATTTATATAAGGCAGTAAAATATTTTTGTTTTTGGAAATAGAAATCCTTGTCATTAATCTGTGTAATCTTCTGCTTGTTGTCCTAGTTTCAATTTTCTTCATTTGCTCACATGAGGGTACTTTATAAAGTTGGTGGAGAAACGGAATTAAAGGATAAGTTTGTTTTGGTGCCCCAAGTTTGAAATCCATACTTTTTTTTTTTTTAAAACAATATGCATTTTCCATGAACTTTGTGAAGAACCTTTATACAAACACTTGCTCCCTGGTGTACAGCTTTGTTCCAGGTCGTCCTATGCACGTTGAATGCAGACGTAAGTGCTTCTGAATTAGAAAGTAGAGGCGCAGGTCTGACAAGCCCACCACGGGTCAGCCCTGAGCACATTTGGGGCTCTGTTCGATTGGCTATTGATTTGTATAAAGAAACTAACTGCAACTTGGACTTGGGTGCTCCCAAGCCTTCACGAGCTCACATTCTGTCTCGTGACATGAGAAAATGAAGTCGCTCCACCCCCACCGTGTTCTGGGGTCACTGATTTCCAGGATGTAGGTCCTACGGCTCCTTTAGGCTCTGCTTGGCCGGGGAACTTGAGACTCCGTTCATGGGTCCACATGTAGTGCACTCGCTCCGATTTGTCACGGTCTCCTCCACGTGGAGTTTCTGCCTCTTCCTGGAAAAGCTCCTACTTGGCCTGTGTAGTCCCACTGCAGGTGCTCTCTGTGCTGTTTAGGTGGCAAACTTGCCCTAGATGACTTAGAATTACCATGGCCATGACGGCACACTTGGGGTGTCAAAAATAAGAGGGACTCCCGAACAGAGAGAGGACAGAAACACCAACCATCCAACAAAGGACTTTGACTGGCACACTGTGGCCTCAGAAAGAAAAAACAAAAGCAAAGCTCTTACTCCTACTCAAACCTTCTGCCATCTTTGGTTGCCTCTCTCTGGCTCCATCCAACCTTTTCTTTGCCACCCACTCGTAACTCCTTCTATTCCTTTCCCTGCCTGCCTGGACAAGCTTTCTTCAGGGGGCCTTTTTCTAGACAAGAACAATCACAAACACCGTATCCCCTCTAAAGCTCAGGCACCAGCAGCTAAGTCCAGAGAGGCTGGATCGAAACGCAGGGAGAGAGTTAACTGCAAATATTTAGAATCGTCCTCAATTTCAGAACAGTAGAAAGTTATTGAATAATTTAAGATCCCGAGAGTTATTTATTTTCCTAGACTATTGTCTTTGCACCAATTCGTTCAGTTATTTGTTGACCTTTGATGATGGGGGAAATGTTCAAAATCAGTAAGATGGAAAAAAAATTGCAAGATTTATATATCCCACCTACTCATGCTTTATGAGAAGCTAAGAGGAAATAGGAAAGCCATCACATAAAACTGTTTGGAAAGCCTGTCTCTAAGGGGTGTATCGGGAAGAGTCAAAACACAAATCAACAAAGTGAAGAGGAGTTGATGAGAGACGTAATAGACTTCAGGACACCCTCACAGGACATTCTGGGGCAGGACAGGCGCTTCAGGAGAGCGAGACTTTTCTTCTGTTTTTGGAAAAGGTTCAGGGGAATTAGGGAACTCAGAAAAAAATATATGTCCTGGAATGGGAATGTCAACATAGGTATTCTGCTCATTTTCCAGGAGTCTCTAAATGTTGGGTAGACATGAAAATCATCTTATGGCCTCCTGGGTAAGACAACTGGCTGCTGAAATAAAACCAGGGCCTGGGTTTCCCTGCTCTTTGTGCATTTGGAGCCCAAAGGCCGCTGTTCACAGCTGTGCGGTGATGTCCCTTACAGAGAACTTCGCCACAACACCTTCCCAGACTGCCTTCTTCCAACTCCCGAGGGAAATTGTTTGCGTGTATGGAGGGACAGCAGTTCTGCTGGCTTGTGCAAGCGGCTTGCTCTCCTAGGCAAGTCAGACTCTTTAATGCCAACTCCTAGTAAGTCGAAGTGTTCTGTGTGGCAGGTGCTTAGACCCTTCCAAGGGGATGACTGCCCGGCGTCCTCAGCAGATTGCACTGTCTCACACGGAGACTGAAGGGGTAAAACCTCTCCTGGGAATGGAACAGACTGAGGATTGTGAGCTGCGCACCTCTAAGTGCGCATTTGCTGTCACCTTGGGTCATAGTAATGCTAGGGCCTGCACTGGGGATGCACCTGGCCAATTAAAGATCCTTAGTAATTATGGTAATAGAAAACCTTTGGATTTTGTTTTGGCCAGAGGAAGTGGCACCACTGCCAATACTTTGCATTTCACCTGTATTAATACCCCAGGTGACATTAATCTATGAGGGTGCTTCAACAAGTTCATGGAAAAGTGGAATGAAAAGAGATGTTTAGAGATGCACATTTGGCCTAGTGGTTACAATGCCTATACGCCCTAGGGGGAGTACCTGGGTTCAATGCCTGGCTCTGGCTCTGGCTCCTGTCTCTCACCTCCTGACTAATGCAGACCCTGGGTGGCAGTAATGATGGTTCAAGTAGCTGGATTCCTTCTACCAATGCGGGAGACCTGAACTGAGTTCCTAGCTCTCAGTTTTAATCTCAGCCTAGCCCTGGTCATAGAAGGCAATTAGGGAGTGAACCAATGAATGGAAATTTGCTCTCACTTTCTCTGCTTCTCAAAACATTTACATTATTTTAAAAAGATAAGTTTATTTTGGTGCAAACATTTTTTTTGAAATCCATGCATAGATTTCCCTCAATATGCATTCCCACAAGCTTGTGGAAGTACCACCATCTGTCTAAGCCAAACGAAAAGTGAACCTGAGCTGGGTAGATGGCCGTGCCTGGGAAATCACTGTTCATGTGCCTGAAGAGCCTTTGCAATACTTCTTGAATACTGAAGTTGTTCTTGACTGCCTCACGTCACTCAGAGTGTGTTGTCCAGAGAGGTGAATGTTTTTATGCAGCCTCTGGTGCCGCAGATGATGCGACAAATGATTCAAAGACAAAGACGAGAGGAAATCAGGCTCTGACCAACAGGCAAACCAAAAGCAGATCTCTAGAAATGGGAAAATGAAGGAAGGAAGGCGGATGCTAGCAGTGGAGAGCTGCACGATCTCGGAGGGTGTTTCCTGCAGCTCTGGTGGAGGGAGCCTGAGAATGTAAAGAGAGGCACCCACTCTCCCAGGAAAAACCCGATTGCCCTGTACCCATGGGTGTCAGCCATCAGCGGTACCTGTGTCAAACCCGTTAGATCAGCTCGTGGAACTTTGCTGCAGCGGCCGTAACTGACACCTGGTAGCAGCTACACTTCACAGCTGAAGCTCTACCTCTCCCCAGCCCTCCTGCCCCAGAAACACCACCAGTCCTTGGGCGCAGCACCTTCCCCAGCAGCCCTTAGCCTTGGCCATGCAAGCATGGTTCTTCCTTGTTTACCCAGAAACAATTCCATTTGTGTTTCACATATTAAATCCAGGCTTTTTCTTCTACAGCATCTTGTGTAATAACTAGAAAATGCACATATTCAAATTCCCCTCTGTCTCCTTTCAGCTCAGTAGTTTGCTATGCTCCATATTTTTCACCTTGCTTTTTTTTTTTTTTCCCTGAGGGGAAAAAAAAATACTTAGATCTCACTCCCCATTAGTGGTACAGCAGGAACTTAACACACAGGCTTGTCTCACGCCCTCCACATCTTTGGCAGGCAATTTTACCAGAAGGAGAGGGGAGTAAAATACTTTCTCCCCCGAGGGTTGACCGCAGAGGATTTCGGACTTGTCAGTCCTCTTCAGAAATAGAATGGCTCTGTAGCAATTACAAGTACATTCTCAGGGGGTGCCAACTGTGAAGATCTACTTCGCTATGACACTGAGAAGGATGTGTGACCTCTGGGAACCCCAGTTGTCTGACCTGTAAAATGGGGTTAATAATAACAGGTGGTCGTGAGGACTAGCTAGTGGTGGGTGTGGTGTTTCCTGCACTACCAGTGCCCTCCTCTAGGTGGAAGCAGGGGCCACAGAGAATGGCCCTCAGCTCATTTCCCCAGCGGGCTGTGAGTTTCAGGGCTTTAGCCACCTCACAGCATTTTGACCAGAACAACAAAAGTCAACAAGGAATAACAGGAAGCTTCTCAGACTCATAGGGAGACCCGGACTCAGAGAGAAAAACAATGAGGCCAAGTCAAATGAGGAGTGGTGTCTGCTTCCTGTAGTGAAAGTCCAGAAGTTGGTGGGGCCATTGTCCCTTTTGATGTAGAAAATCTACTCCCTCCCACTCTTAGGTCTAACCTCTGAGCCTCACTCACCTGCAGCTGGCAGAGTGGACAGGAGGCCATCTGTGATGTCACAGACCTGGAGAACTGGGGAATGTTGGGGTTTTGGACTGGACCACAACGGCAGGGTGGAGGAAAAACTGCTGACACTCTGGCTGCTGCTCCATCTCTCTGTTGGAGATGTCTTTTTTTTTTTTTTTTTTTTTTGGACAGGCAGAGTGGACAGTGAGAGAGAGAGAGAGAGAGAGGTCCTCTTTTCCATTGGTTCACCCTCCAATGGCCGCTGCGGCTGGCGCATCGTGCTGATCCGATGGCAGGAGCCAGGTACTTCTCCTGGTCTCCCATGGGTGCAGGGCCCAAGCACTTGGGCCATCCTCCACTGCACTCCCTGACCACAGCAGAGAGCTGGCCTGGAAGAGGGGCAACTGGGACAGAATCCGGCGCCCCGATCGGGACTAGAACCCGGTGTGCCGGTGCCGCAGGCGGAGGATTAGCCTACTGAGTCGCCGCACCGGCCCTGCGATGTCTTCTTACTGTCCACCACGCTATTCCCTAGTGCTCTGGACGGCAAGGACAGCCAAGCCACAAGGGGGCAGTACAGCGCTGGACAAGGAAGGCCCAGGTCACGTTCTGGGGCCACACACCCAGCGGGCTGGTAACCTCAGGTAATTTGTCCCTCTGCAAAATGGGGCTAATAATACTTATATGTCCTATATGCGCTTTTAGGAGTAAATGAGGTCGGGCAGGAAAACATTTAACATGATGCCTAGATACCAAGAACCAGTAATTGTCGATGATAGGTGCAAAAGTAAAGTGACATTTTCTGCCCAATTTGTCTCTCAGAGAAAAAAGGATTCACTTCATAGTGCAGTCTTTTTTTTTTTTTTTTAAAGATTTATTTATTTATTTGAAAGGCAGAGTAAGAGAGAGAGAGGTCTTCTACCAGCTGGTTCACTCCCCAAGTTGGCCGCAATGCCCGGAGCTGCTCTGATCCAAAGCCAGGAGCCAGGAGCTTCTTCCAGGTCTCCCACGCAGGTGCAGGGGCCCAAGGACTTAGGCCATCTTCTACTGCTTTCCCAGGCCATAGCAGAGAGCTGGATTGGAAGAAGAGCAGCCAAGACTTGAACCGGTGCCACTGCAGGTGGCGGCTTTACCCGCTACGCCACAGCGCTGGCCCCCATAGTGCAGTCTTGATAAAAATCTCTCCTCTGGCCGGCGCCGTGGCTCACTAGGCTAATCCTCCACCTTGCGGCGCCAGCACACCGGGTTCTAGTCCCGGTTGCCCCTTTTCCAGGCCAGCTCTCTGCTGTGGCCAGGGAGTGCAGTGGAGGATGGCCCAAGTGCTTGGGCCCTGCACCCCATGGGAGACCAGGAGAAGCACCTGGCTCCTGGCTCCTGCCATCGGATCGACGCGGTGCGCCGGCCGCAGCGCACCGGCCACGGCGGCCATTGGAGGGTGAACCTACGGCAAAGGAGGACCTTTCTGTCTCTCTCTCTCTCTCTCTCACTGTCCACTCTGTCAAAAAAAAAAAATTCTCTGAGGGGATACTTTTTCAATTCCTTTATTTAGACACCCAAGAACTATTTGAGGAGGCCAAATTAGGTTAACATGTTTTCCGTGAGAGCTGTGTTTGGATGTTTATAGAGGTCACCAGATACAATAGAAACAGAAGGAAACAGATCTTCAGCCCCATTTAGGAAGTCCCTGGGGTGGGAGGCTGATGTGACCTTATTCATTATAAATAAATTTGATGGTGAGTACACCATTTTTTTTTCTTTCAGGGCTCACTTGTAAAGCAGACCTCTTGAGTGGCAATATTGAGTGATGGCTCTCAATTCTGCCTGCAAATGAGATGCACTTGAGATGTTTTTGAACCTAAGAATGCTTAGGCCCCAACCCCAGCTAAGTCAGAACCATTGCTTTGGAAGAGAGCCCGGGTAGCATCGAGTATGGACGGAAAGCCGTCCAGGTGATTCTTGTGTGCAATCAAGGTCTATTCCAGGACATGGTGGACTTCCCTCCTCACACACCCCAGCAGGGCTCTCGGGCGCAAGCTGCCCTGCAGTCACGGCAGGAGCTTCAGGATGTGCCACTCCCTGCACCCACGCCAGGTCAGTGAAATCGCTATCTGGGGCGGGCCAGGCTCCAGGCACTAGTAGATTTTACTTTTATTGTTTTAAAGGTTTATTTTTTATTTATCTGAAACCAGAAGGGGAAAGAGGGAAGGTGTGAGGAGAGGGAGGAGAAGCGTGGGAGAAGAGAGAGAACTTCCAGCCCCTGGTTCACTCCCTAAATGACTGCAGTGGCCAGGGCTGGGCCAGGCCAAAGCCAGGAGCCTGAAACTCCTCCATTCAGGTCTCTTACATGGGTGGCAGGGGCCCAGGCACTTGGGCCATTATCAGCTGGCTTCCCAGGTACGTTAGTAAGGAGCTGGATCAGAAGCAGAGTGGCAGGGACTCCAGTCGGTGCTGTGACATGGGATGCGGTGTCGCAGGCAGCAGCTGAACCCACTGTGTCCCACTGCTGGCCCCTGGCATGAGTGGGTTTTAAAGTTACTTAGATGGTTTCAATCTGTAGGCAGTATTGAAAGAACCACTGAATTAAGAGCAAATTTTAAGAAATCTTACATTTTCTTGATGTTTCATGAACAGATCCTTTTAGCTTGGGCTGAGTGTTTCAGGAAAAGTATTGACAAAGGACTCCAAAGCACTCACTTTTAAGGAACTTAGAAATGTAAAGAATATTCTGGAAGCCTGTGTTGGATGAAAACTGTGAGCACGCTGAAGTTAAAGATGTGTGTAAAGTATCTGAATAAAAGGGTTTCAGAACACAGGAGAATGAAGGTAGCCGTATTTTCAAATTAATCTATTTTATGTAATACTCCATTGCAATGAGGAAGTTGCTGCTTGGTTATTTGAATCACTGTACTATCTGATAATAGATTAAAGTTGGCCAAAATCCTTAAATCCTTACGTGAGGAAACCAGGGGCTTGCCTTTTGTTAGGGGTGGTTTACCACTCAGGGATGTGGGGTGTGTTTGCTTCCTTAGGGGTGTAGTAAACAGGTGCTTCATGTAGTGACTAGCGCAATCTTGAATTAAGACATTAGGTTAAGTTGAACGGGTGGATCCTGAGTCTGGTGATTTTGGAGTGGGTGGGCTCTGGACGTCAGAGCCCTCTTCCTGTTTGACGTTGGCTATAGCCATGAACCCCTAACATAGCTCAGTGTTCTTATATTTACAATGGGAGTATTAGCAGAGTGGATGTGAAAAATAAAGCAGATAAGCCACATACCTGCTAGAGAAGAAGCACTCAATAAATGTTACTTATTATCATTTGATGTTGAGAGGAGAGGTAGAGCCTTGGGCTCCTGCGCATGTGTCTAGCTTTCACATTTATGGAATTATATAACTTAGAAAGAGGAGAAAGTTTTAATTAAGAATAAATTTAAGGTTTTCCAAAATTCTTATTTGAATTAATTACACATCCACAAGAAGGTCCTACAGAGGTCCTACGAACCCTTCACCCAGCCTCCCCCAGTGTTAACATCTTGTATCATTTTATTATAAGATGAAAACTGGGAAAATAGCATTGTGCCAACCATACAGTTTATTCAAAGTTTATCAGTTTACACCCACATGTACGTGTGTGTGCACACGTGTGTGTGTGTAGTTTTATCCCATTTGTAGCTTCATGGACTCATCTCCACATCGAGGTGCTCAGTTAAACCATCACCACAGGCTGCTTTCTGGGCACACTCACCCTTCTCCCCCCATCTCTAACCCCTGCAAGCCACTGCTCTGTTTTCCGTGTTGGTAATGATCTCTTTTCATGAAGGCTGCATGAAGGGACACATGAGGTATAGTCTGTGTTTCTGAAACTTGGCTTTCTCGGAATACATCCTGTGGGCCACCCATGTTAGTGCACGTGTCGCTAGTTACTCGTAATCCATTGTGATGGGTGTTACACAGCTGTTTTGACCATAAACCCATTGAAAGCTAATCGGCTGTTTTTCAGGCTTGGCTATTACAAATAAAGCTACTGTGAACACGTGTGTGCGAGTTTCCACGTGAAAATAAGTTTTAATTTTTGTGAGATAAATGTTCTTTTTACCATACGGTAGCTGGATTATATGATAAATCCATTTTTAGTTTTCAAAGAAACTGCCAAATTATTTTCCAAAGTGACTGTACCATTTTACTTTCTCATGAGTAGTGTAGGAGTAATCTGGTTTTCCTGCACCCTCAGTGGTAGTTTTTCACTATTTTTATGTTAGCCATTCTGATAGATGTGTTCTGTTATCTCTTTATGATTTCAATGTGCATGTCCCTAGTGGCTGATGATGTTGAATGTCTTTTAATGTGCTTAGTAGCCACTCAAGTATTTTCCATGGTAAAATGTCTCATCTCCCTTTACATATTTAATTGTTGTCCCTTTTCATATTGAATCGTGTTTTTTTTATTTAGTTTTTAAAATGACAGCTTTATTCAGATAAACTTCATATGTCATAAACTATCCAATTTTAAAGTGTACAATTCAATAATATTTAGTATATTCAGAGTTGCGATATACTATCTATTCCTGAATATTTTTGTTACCTCAAGAAGCTCCATACTTAATAACAGTCCATCTTCATCTCCGCTTCCTTCTAACTCTGGCAATGGGTCATCTCTTTTCTGCTCTTTGGATTTGTCTACTCTAGACAACCTCATTTAAATGGAATCACACAGTATGTGGCCTTCTCTGTGTGGCTTCTTTTACTTAGCAATGTGTTTTCAAGGTTCATCCCTGTTGTAGCACCTGATGGGTTTTCACTCCTTTTTATTGCCAAATAACTGTCTACCATATGGATATATCATATTTTGTTTATTCAGCTGTTGGTGAGCATTTAGGTTGTATTCAGAACTTGGCTTTATTAAAACACTGCTATGAATATTCATGTACAAATTTTTATGTGGACATCTGTTTTCATTTCTCTGGAGTATTTACCTAGGAGGGAATTTGCTGAGTCAAGTGGTAGTTCTGTTTAACATTCAGATAAATTGCGAACTGTTTCTAAAGTGCCCATAGCATTTTGTAGAGCTGCTGAGGGTCCAGTGTCTTCACATCATTGACCACACTTGTTTTTGTCTTTATTTTAGCCATCCTAGTATATTTGAGATAGTATCTAATTGTGGTTTTAATTTGCATTTTCCTAATGACTGATGATATTGAGAATCTTTCTTTTATTTATTTGAAAGTCAGAGTTACACAAGAAACGAGAGGCAGAGAGAGAGAGAGAGAGAGAGAGAGAGAGAGGTCTTCCATCTGATGGTTTACTCCCCAGTTGGCCGCAATGACCGGAACTGTGCCCATCCGAAGCCAGGAGCCAAGAGCTTCTTCCGAGTCTCCCACGTGGGTGCAGGAGCCCAAGGACTTGGGCCATTTTCCACTGCTTTCCCAGGCCATAGCAGAGAGCTGGACCAGAAGTGGAGCAGCTGGAACTCAAACTGGCGCCCACATGGGATGCTGGTGCTTCAGGCACAGCGCTGGCCCCAAGAATCTTTTTTATTTTAAGTTTACATAGGTTTTTTTTTTTTTAAGATTTACTTATTTATTTGAAAGTCAGATTTAGAGAGAGAGGGAGAGAGGGGAGGAGGGAGGGAGGGGGGAGGCTGAGTGATCTTTCATCTGCTGGTCACGATCCAGATGGCTACAACAGCCAGGGCAGAGCCAAGCCAAAGCCAGGAGCTTCATCTGAGTCTCCCACATGGGCGGCAGGGGCCAAATGCTTGGACCATCTGCTGCTGCTTTCCAAGGTGCATTAGCAGGAGCTGGATCAGAAGTGGAGCAGCTGGGACATGAACTGGTGCCCATATGGGTGTCGCAAGTGGTGGCTTTACCTGCTATACCATAATGTTATGTATTTATTGGCCATGTGCATATTTTGTTTAGAGAAATGTTTATTTAAATCCTTTGCCTTTTAAAATTGGGCCTTTATTTAAAAGATTTCTTTATATTTTCTAGTTATTTGAATTTTATTAGATACGTGGTTTGCAATTATTTCTCATATTCTGCTGGTTGACATTTCCTTCATTAGGCAGTATCTTTTAAAACACAAAAAAGGTTTTAATGTAGGTGGAATTCAATTTATATTTTTCCTTTGTTATAATTTTGCTATCACATCTAATAGCCAATTGCCTAGCCCAAGACCATAAAGATTTACTCCTATGTTTTCTAATAAGAGTTTTATAGTTTTAGCTCTATAGGCGAGCCTGTGTTCCATTTAGAGTTTATCTTTGTTATGGTGTGAAGAGAGCTCCAACTTCATCATTTGCTTGTGCATATCCAGTGTGCAGCACTACTGTGGAGAAGACTGTTCTTTCCCTGTTCAGTAGCCTCTGTTCTCCTGGTGAGAATCTGTCGGCCACGAATGTAAGAATTTAAATTGAGTTCCAAGCATGATGCACTTGACTGTAAGGGACAACCTTCCAGAAAGATCACGTGAGAGATAGAGTGTGGTGGATTGCATTGCTGGTCCCCTTTCCTTACCCCTGCCGTTGCTGAAACCTCTGCTGTATCCTCATCATGGGCAGAGTATATTTCCCTGCTTTTGATTTTGGGCATCACTAAATGACTTACTTTGGTCAATGGTTTGTTGGCACGAAGCTCAATGTCAGAGTTCTGAGTGTAGGCTTGGAAAGCCCTCCACATTACCATTCATGCTCTTGCTTCTTCTACCGTTGTCCTGAAGGAATGACCCCGATTGTTCCATTCCTCCTAGGAGGAGGATGAGAGATGTAGTTCAGAGACCCCCAGTGAAGCCCAGCTTAGGCCAGCTGACCCCACCCATGTAACTCACAGATAAGAGGATATTCAAAAAAAATGACTGTTGCCACTGAGTTTTGGTGTGGTTATACAGTGTGTTTAAGTGACACACAGGGCATGAACTCTTTGTATACTGAATACATCTGACCCTTCAATCTGCAGATCAAAAATATTCAAATGTGTAGATATTTTTCTTGTCCTTATTCCATAAACAATATGGCATAACAACTACTTATTATAGCTTTTACATTGTGTTAGGTATTGTAAATAATCTAGAGATGATTTGATGTTTATAGGTTATATGCAAATAATATTTCATATAAGAGACTTGAGAATCTATAGAGTTTGATTTTCTCAGGGAGTCCTGGAACCAATCACCCATGAATACTGCAGGATGACTATTCTGCCTACATGAGAGAAGCATTGGCATCAGTCACTTCACTTCTGTCTGGAAACAAGAGCTCTGATCATTGGAGACCCTGGGACATTTACTAGGTGAGGTTATTAGTAAAATATTTTCACACAGAGGGCGGGGGCCCAGGCCCCAGGTGGGAAGTGGGATGATTTAAGGTCAAACATAGACTTAACATCATTATAGTATTGGATCACATCGTGAAAGAGTGAATTCCTTTTTTAGTCTTTTCAGTTGCCTAAAAGGAGAGGTCTCAGTCAGGCATCACCAAGTAGATAATAGAACCTACAAACATTTGCCAGCCTCCCTCTATAACACAGACAGGACATCCCACAGGCTCAGAGTCTACTGCAGATGATAGTAACAGGCCAGAGCATAAACACATGATTGTGTTCTTACTATGTTCTTGTAGTGACCTTTTCTATTTATGATAGTCATATATGCATTTGTTTTTATTTTATTGATTTGAAAGGAAGAGTGACAGATAGATAGCTTCCATTGTCTGGTTCATTTTCCCAGTTCCTGCAATAGCTAGGTCTGGGCCAAGCTGAAGCCAGGAGCCAGGGACTCCATGCAGGTCTCCTCTGTGCGTGGCAGGGATCCCAATTCTTGAGCCATCATTTCCCCAGGATGTGCACAAACAGGAAACTGGACCAGAAGTAGAGGTGGAACCCTATCCCAGGTACTCTGATATGGGATGTGAGCGTCCCAAGTGGTGGCTTATCCTGCTGCACCACCATACCTGCCCCTGTACATGGGTTTTAATGGAAAACAGTGAGATGGTTTAAAGAACAGTGTTATAGAAATAGTATAGGTACTATAGTGTAAGTAATAGGCAGAGTCGTGAGTTGTGAATGTCTGTCATTGCATTAGAATTCTCCAGAGAAACAGAACAGGGGACAGGTCTTGATATCTATATCTGTATGTGCTAGAGAGCTAGGAAAGCTGGTGGCATAGTCCAAAGATCCAAGAGCAGATGGTGTAGAGTCCGGTGCAAACCCGAAGACCTGAGAATTAGAAATTCCTGGGGCAGGAGATCTATGTCCCAGCTTCAAGGAAGAAGAGAGAGGTTCAGTCCTTCCTTCCTCTGCCTCTTTGCTCCATTCATCACCATTGAGTGATGCCCACCCACTTTGGGGAGGGCCATCCGGTTTATTTAGTCTTCAGATTCAGATGCTAATCGTTTCCAGATATACCTAGAAATAGCACCTAACCAGGCATATAGACATCTCATGATTCAGTCAAATCGACACATGCCATGCACTGTCACGAACATTAGGTCTCTGATCTATGCAACAGATGTCATAGAACATATTTTTGTTTCTTATGAAGCTAGGAAAGCACATCCTTTTGAGTGTGTAAGCTCATCTCTTGTGCTTACTTGAGCTGGAAATTTGGTTGGTTCTTTCAAAGGATTCAGGATTCTCAGTTTCTAGGAATGTTGACCCTTGAACTCCCCATGAAGCCCCAAGGTGATTGTCATCAGTGAAACTCTTCTGTGGCTCTCACATAATTGACACCTCAGAACCTTTTGGAAAAAAATCCTCCCCTATAATCTCACATTCTAAAAATAGCCTTGACTTTTGGATTGCTGCTTAATGAAAATCTATTTTTCGATTACACTGGAGGCAAAGAAAAAATTTCCAGTATCAATTTGAAACTTGTGGGAAAACAAAATGAAAGTTTCACTGTTCTCGTCGAAGGTTTTGGTGTTGAAGTTTTTGCCACACTGGCTGACTTCTGAGTGTGCTAGGGCCCGGGGAGGAAGGAAGGGTGAAATCTGTCAGCAGTCATTTGATCTGTCACTTATTACTCAGATCTGACACCAAGTGCAGGGGCTGTAGCAGGAAGATGCAGCTAACATCACTGCACACATCTTAGTCAGGGAGAGCGTCTCTGAAATCCTACGGTTTCTCTGAGTCATTACTGTAGCATCTCTCCTTACAGTGAAACTTCACCATGACATTGTCGTGCAGCCCAGCCAGAGAGCCTCGTTCTGTGCTTTGTGGGGCCACACACGAGAGGGCTTGGTTTCCAGTGAGGCAATGCGAGTCCCTTTACCAGGCACTCTCACTCACTGGGTGGCCCACAGCACAGTGTCACGGCGGCCAGTCAGCTCTCGGGTGTATCCGGTGGGAAATCTTGCTTGGTGCTGGCTTTTGGAAGAGTGAGTAGTGTGTGAGACACCATATAGCCTAGGGTAACGTCATCCACGGTCAAGACACAGATTTCTCCCATTCCTTGCAAGGAGGTATTTCCCTTATCACCAAATCACATGGTAGATACATAGCCAAAAATATTTTGCACCTATACTTGGGTCCAGATTTCTGCCTTCCCACTCAGGAAAAATGGGATCCTTTCTAAGTCTCAATTTTTTTGCATCCCTATGATGGGACCTGTAATCCCTGCCTTGGCCATGTATGACGTTGCTTTTGAAGTCCTCGTGCAGTGTCTCAGAATGACCTCTGTCGTCTTCCTAAGTGTCACAGGTGCTAGCTGTAGGTAGCCGCTCACCTCTCTACTGCTTTCGTGCCCTTGGAACTCTACCTCATCACCTGACCCAGATGGTGAGAGGGTAACTGTGGACTGAGCAATAATTGGGCAGGCTCCAGTCCCCACCCTTCTCAGGTTGATTCTGTATCTTGCTTTATAACTGATTCTAAGACCCCTGCAGATATGGACACGATTTTTTTTTTTAAAGATTGTACTTATTTATTTGAGAGGTAGAATTACAGATTTTGAGAGGGAGAGACAGAGAGAAGGGTCTTCCATCCTCTGGTTCACGCCCCAAATGGCTGCAACAACTAAAGCTGGACCAATCCAAAGCCAGGAGCCTCCTCCAAGTCTCCCACATGGATGCGGGTGCCCAAGAACTTGTGCCGTCTTCCACTGTTTTCCCAGGCCATATCAGAGAGCTGGATTGGAAGAAGAACAGCCAGGACTAGAACTGGCACCCATGTAGGATGCTGGCACTGCAGGCGGAGGTTTAGCCTACTATGCCACGGCACGGTCCCAACATTATTTCTTAAGACTGTTCTGATGAAAGCTTGCGAAGGAAATCAATATTCCCAGAAACCAACAAAATAAGATGAATCCTCTGGCTTTGGCAGGGATACGGGAGTCCTACAGGACAGCTTGTGGGCTTCTCTAGTGGGAGTGTTGTGGGAGCCCTGAGAGCACCTTGCCCAAATACAGGTAAGGATCATTTTGGAGTCTGCATAACAGTAACAGTGATGGCAATTGTCCCTGTGCAGGGCCGTGTACTGCATGCTTTGTTCAGAGAAAACTGCTTAGGATGAATCCCAGCTCAGCCATATGCTAGCTGTGTAACTTTGGGCAAGTTATGTACCTTCTCTGAGCTCTGGGTCCATGCCTGTAAATGGGCTCACGATGCCTAACAGGACTTTTAAAAATGCATTGAAACCCTGAATTCAGAGCTTTAGGTGCTCAATATGGAATGTTTCTGTTTCGCTCTTATACTTCCTACCTTTCATACAAAATTCAGGGAGCCGTGACATTTGCAGCAGGTAGAGTATTCTGCTGGCCCCGGCTTCATGTCGTTTTGATCATGTTCTCCTCAAGGGGAGAGGTTATCGCTTTGGTTCTAAGGTAGGACAGTTTCTGAGTGCTGAGTTGATGGAGTGTGATGTATAAAGTATGAAGGAGGTAGTTTCTTTCATTGACCAATCGTAAGGCTTTATTAGACTGCTCTCAGGGACACCTCTGGTCTGTACAATCTGACGGTGGTAGATTAAATTCCTGATCAAAAATCGAACATCAGTGATTTCAAAGTAGATGAAGGAAAAATCTCTTGACCCGGACTTATTTGGAAGAAGAAGTTCTTATGTTCTTAGGGACATTAAGTGGAAGAGACTTTTACCATATTAGATTTGCAAGTCTCCCAATGTTGTCCCAACTTGCAAGGGAGTGGGCAGCCTCTCATCAGAAAACTGGGAGGCTTCATGTAATCAAACACCCTGCACAGGTTTCTTCTCTAACATGTGCACTTATGGACTATAGAGTTTGATGGAGGTAAATTAAATGTGTCATTTTCTCTGTTCCAACCCCAGATAGGACTACATCAACCTTGTCTGGTGGGATTTTGAATATCTGACTACTGCTTCTCTCAGTCTTTTAGAGTCTCACGGCTTCCTTGGGCTGGGTCCCAGGCAGAAGTAGAGTAGCCTCCTGGGATTTTTGTTCTCTGCCCGATGTGAGCTGCCTGAGGGTTTGTGGCCTCAGGCCCTAGATCCCAGATCCCAGCTTTGAGACTGGAGAGAGAATGTTCCCTGGCTGTGTAAATAGGTTCATCTCTGCTTGCACTTGTTGGTACATCTCCACTTGTACCTATTGGTACACCTCTGCTTGCACCTGTTGGAAGGCCCATCAAAACCCTCGCTCCATCATTGCTGGAAAGGAAATAGCCAGGAAAGACTTCAGAGATCATGCAGACGCACTTATTTGTCCATTACTTAGATAGGAACAGTGAGGCCTCAAAAAAGGAAAGATTTGCAGAAGGTCACAAATCAAATTCCAGGATGAGCTCCAATACAGGTCTAGGTCTGTATGATCCAAAATTTTTAGTGTTTGAGACGCCTCTAATTGTTCCCTGGTTTCCCACTTCTCTTTGTCCCTTAATAATAGAGCCTCCAGTGTATGGCAGGACACACGACTGTCTGTTATAAAGACCATCGCTTTCTAATATTTGCAGTAGGGTTGGCTGTGAGACTGAGTTCTGGCCAATGACAAATACACGGTTATGTCTTGTGGCTTCTGGAAATATTCTTTCATCCTCCCTCCTCTCTACTGGCTAGAACATGGAAGAGACTTATTGCCATAATAACACTGAGTAATAGATAATCACAAAATCTCCATGTTTGTGACAATACCTGTTGATTTCTCTTGTTGTGTTTGGGATGGGCAATTGAACAGTTCTGCTGGGATTGGCTGGACCTGGTCACATATCCAGGGAGTTGGCTGGCTACTAGATGACCTGTGATGGCCATGGCTGGGTCAATTGTGGTGGCTTGATCTGGTTCACATGTCTCCCATCTCCCAGCAGGCTGGCCCATGCCAATGGAAAAGGCCACAGATGATGAGTGGAAACACATGAGTAATTTTTCCTGCTTCTGCTTCTGTCGTATTGGCTAATATTCCATTGGCGGAAGCAAATCACATAGCTGGGCATAGAGACAGAGTTGGGTAGGAGCATATGTTACTGTTCTGTGACTAAAGCATGGATAAAGGGCTGGATGAGAATTGGGGCCTTAATAGAGCCAATCTATTTCAGATGGATGATTGAGTGAATGGAGAGATGTAGGGAAAGAGAAAAAAAAAAAAAAAACAACTGCACGTGGGGGAGGAAGTGTTACCCGCTGTGCCCAGTGCAGGGAGAGAGGAGGCACTGAAGGGTGCTTTTCCAGTGCTCTGTGGGGCTACGTGCCCTGGGCCATCATGGCTTGCGGACTGCTCATGGCACATGGTTGTGTGGGGGTGGGGGTGGGGGGTGGAGGCTGGAGCTTTGCTGCAGACCAGGGCGGGGGGGCGTTTATATTATGACTTGCTCCTCTGCTGGGGAATCTTTGCTTCTGGGTGAGTCATCATGAAAGGCTTCCGAAGCTTTACTTTGTGGTCAGGAAAGAGTCTTCTTGGAGACAAGAGGCCTTTTCAGGGGCCCCGCGTTCATAACATGAGAGTAGCAGTGCTATGGCCTGAGACCCCAACTGGGAGGCAAGGGACATGGGTTTCAGTCCTGACGAATCAGAAAAATCAAAAGAAAAATAGCATCAGAAATGTGAGTCTTTCCTGGGCAATTTCTAACTGCTATAGGACTTGTCAGCAATAAAAAAAAAAAAAGGAAAGGTTGAAAAAATACATCTTGTATTTTAAAATTTATGAGAGAAGTTGAACATCTTTTCATTACTGTTTATATCCCTTGCCTATTTTCCTGCTCAGCTCTGGTCTTTGTATTTTATACTCATTGAACTGTTGATTAGTGGAATGTTAAGTCTTTGACTATAATGTAAATAAAAAATGTTATCTCAAAGATAAATAAATACATTTTTCCAAGTCTTCATGCTTTTTGGGCTCCTGATAATATATATTTTAAGAAGATAAACATTCTTCTAGTGCCAACAAATTTTATAATAATTTTGTTATATACATTGAAGATCCTTTGCCATTAGTTTCAAGTACCTTCAAAATAATGTTTACTATTCATATAAGTCATAGAATACTGGTCACTATGAAAATTAAAGTCATAAATCGATTAGTATGAAAATGAACAATGACTTTGAATTTCATACTAGCTGATGCAAAAGATTGAGTAACAAGTATAACCAAATTTTTGTCAAAGATTAAAAAATAAAACTCAATTTATTTTGATGGTAGTAGGCTGAATAACCCACTCTAACATTTTATTTCTGTAATAGAAATAAAAATGATTTTGTAATTTTGACTCTTAAACAGAAAGAAAATGCTTTGTTTGCTCATTTGATCTAAACAAAAGTAAAATTAGATCATTTTTGGCATCTGAAGAGCCAAGGTCAAGGGCACTGCAACAGACCCATTTCCAAGCAGGTGAACTCTGGAAGCCTGAGTTGTGTCTTTCTGATACTACTTTATAGCAACCCACTTTTTTTTTTATCTTTTTATTATTTTTTTGACAGAGTTAAACAGTGAGAGAGAGAGAAACAGAGAGAAAGGTCTTTCTTTTTCCGTTGGTTCACCCCCAAAAGTGGCTGCTACGGCCGGCGCGTTGCACTGATCCAAAGCCAGGAGCCAGGGGCTTCCCCCTGGTCTCCCATGTGGGTGCAGGGCCCAAGGACCTGGGCCATTCTCCACTGTACTCCCGGGCCACAGCAGAGAGCTGGGCTGGAAGAGGAGCAACTGGGACAGAATCCAGCGCCCCAACCAGGACTAGAACCCAGTGTGCCAGTGCCGTGGGCGAAGGATTAGCCTATTGAGCCGCGGCACCAGCCCACATTTTTTTTTAAAGATTTATTTATTTGAAAGTCAGAGTTACACAGAGAGAGGAGAGGCAGAGAGAGAGAGAGAGGTCTTCCATCTGATAGTTCACTTTCCAGATGGCCGCAACGGCTGGAGCTGCGCCGATCTGAAGCCAGGAGCCAGGAGCTTCTTCCGGGTCTCCCACGTGGGTGCAGGGGCCCAAGGACTTGGGCCGTCTTCTACTGCTATTCCGGGCCACAGCAGAGAGCTGGACAGGAAGTGGAGCAGCTGGGTCTCGAACCGGCGCACATATGGGATGCTGGCGCTTCAGGCCAGGGCGTTAACCCACTGCGCCACAGCGCCAGCCCCAGCAACCCACATTTGACCACTATCAAATTCCAAAAAGTGAGAGCAGGGGTGTCTGAAGATAAAAGAGTTTATCCAAATGTCTTTCGCTATCGTGCAACTCCGGGGGATGCGGAGGCCTGGAAGAAGAAAGGGAATGATCC